GGCAGTGTAACGAGGCCATCAACAAGGCCAATCACACCTTGTCGTGCATTAGCAGGTGCATGACTAATAGATCAAAGGAGGTGATGCTCCCCCTCTATGCGGCACTGGTCAGGCTGCAGTTGGAGTACTGTGTCCAGTTTTGGGTGCCACACTTCAAGAGAGACATGGGGAATCTGGAGAGGGTCCAGAGGAGGGCCACTCGCATGATTAGTGGCCTTCGGGAAAGACCCTACGGGGGGAGGTTGAGAGATCTGAATCTCTTCAGCCTTCACAAGAGACGGCTGAGGAGAGATCTTGTGGCCGCCTATAAATTTATTAGGGGAGGTCAACATGGAATAGGTGATGCGCTGTTTACTAGGGCTCCCCAGGGAGTGACTAGGAATAACGGGTGTAAACTAGTTGAGAGTGGATTTAGGTTAGATATTAGGAGGAAAATTTTCACAGTAAGGGTGGCCAGGATCTGGAATGGGCTTCCAAGAGAGGTGGTGCTTTCACCTAGCTTGGATGTCTTCAAGAAGAGGCTAGATAGTCACCTGGCTGGGGTCATATGACCTTGGTCCTCTTTCCTGCCGAGGGCAGGGGGTCGGACACGATGATCCATTGCGGTCCCTTCCGACTCTACAGTCCATGAATCTATGAAAACCTGATGTACCTTCACATTTCCTTATTTGTGGACTTGCCTGTTATCTGCTGTAAGGAATTATAAACTCACTTTGCAGATTTTTTTTAGATCTAGACCAAAAAAGGCAACCTCCTTACATTATACAAGATCATGACAGGGTAGAGGAAAAAGTACTAATTAAACTCTAAATTCAGAATTCCAGCTTAGCTTGCACTGATGTATGACTTGTAAATCGGGCCCATGCCACTGTGAATTGATCGGAAAGAATACTTGTTCTGTAGTCCATACAAGTTATCAATGCCTCCCTTCAGGAAGATGAGATGCACCCATTCCTTTCTCTGTGATTTCTCCCCCCCAATCCCTGTTCTACAAAAAATCATCTCTTGAAGGTCAGTTTCACAGTTGTTTCCTGCCCTGGTTTCTTGAAAGTATAATTAGCCCAAACATGCAGTGTATGCAATGCCCAAAATTCAGTTTGGATTATTTTTTCATAGCTTTACTTATTGCAAGTTAAGTGCATCACCTAACCATATACGATGCAGTTACTTTGCAAATTAATCTAAAGATGTATACTCCAAAATTACCTGCTTTTAAAATTATATGCTCTTTTGGTAAGATAATGGATGGAAACTTTTAAAGTGTGGTAAATTTGGATTTAAAAAGCAGATGGTAATTTAACATGAACCATTTGTTTTGGATAATATGTTGGCAGTAATGGCACAATAAACTTGCATTCTTCCCCAAGTGTTATCTCCCAAAGCAACACTTTACTAAAATTATGTTCTTCTTCCCTTTGTACGCGACAAGCTATTGCAGGGATTTGCAGCTTTCTAGGGTCATTGAGTTCCTTTGGAGGAAAACAAAAAAACTAGAGGCTCAGCTTTGAAGACTTGAAAATTAGCCACTTCATGAGATTCCATCTGAGCCCAATGACTCATGAGCTCCAGTCATGAACTTGTGACTATTACTCAGTGTAGTAGCTTTTGTGGGTCCTGACTGAGAGGTAGTTAGCCATATTTGCCTAAAGTCAGGTAGAAGGCAGGGTAGATTTGCACCTTAACAACCACCTCATGCTGAGGATGCATGCTAGTCATAATGACTTTAAGTGGCAATGTATAGCGTGAAGTCCCTGGGAACTGTGTGCACATATATAATACAGTCAGTTTAAAATGACTGCCGTGAGCACCTTCTGTACACGTTCCACTTGAATGTAGCATTTATTATTTAAAATTACATTTTAAAGTCAAGTTTATTTGCTGAGTTAACACTTTTTAGTTCTGCCAGTAAAACTTCAAGTGGTTGTACACTCCAAACCCCTCTGCTGGCAGTTACTTCATTCAGCAGAGGTGGAGTAAGAATCCTGCTGGTACTCGACAGGCAGCTGGAGGCTTAAGTCACTGCTCTGCCATCAGTCAACTGCTGCTGTTGTGCTAGATTGCTGGAGTGGAGTTGTGAGAAGCCTTCTAGTGTGCACATGCTCTGGTGACTTAGCAGGTACAACTGTTGTTTGTTATCAGAAGTCCTGGTGGCTACCAGGAGCTCTGAATGTACATAGCCTCAGACAAGCGCTTCCTTCCTATAGTAGTGCTCTTGAAATACTAAGTGTTTAAATGGTAAGGACCTTGAAGTTATTTATAAAACAATATCCCGCACACTTCTCAGTGTTTCTCTCATGCACACGCTCTCACACAGACCAACAATAACCACTGTCATGCTTTGTATTTGTTATATGAGATCTATCTTAACTTGACTTCTGAGGATAGGCCAAGGGAAGTCAGCTTATTTAGTCTAAAAAAGAGAAGACCAAGGTGGGATTTAATAGCAGCCTTCAAGTACCTAAAGTGGGCTGCAAAAAAGGATGGAGCTGGACTGTTCTCAGTGGTGCCAGATGACTGAACAAGGAGCAATGGTCTCAAGTTGCAGCAAGGAAAACTTAGGTTAGATATTAGGAAGAATTTTCTCACTAGGAGGGTAGTAAAACATTGGAACAGGTTACCCAGAGAGGTGGTGGAAGCTCCATCCTTGGAAGTTTTCAAGACCTGGCTAGACAAAGCTTGGCTGGGATGATCTAGTTGGGGCTGGCCCTGCTTTGAGCGGGAGGGTGGACTAGATTAGTGGTTCTCAACCTTTTTTGTACCAGGTCCCGTTTGTAAACATCAGTAGCCAGTTCTGACCCAGTGCCCCTCACTCCCAACCCACTACCCCCAGGCTCCATCCTGTGATGGGGGAGGAGGGGAACTCTGCCAGCCTGCAAGGGAAAAGCCACCGTGTCCTGTGTTTTTCTCTTTAATAATGGATTCTCCTTTAAAGGTTTGTTCATGACCCTTTTGATATAATTTTGCAACCCACTTCTGGGACATGACCCATGGGTTGAGAAACGCTGAACTAGATGACCTCCTGAGGTCTCTCCAACCCTAACTTTCCATGCTTCTATGATTAACTTCCCGTTTATAGTATCTCATGATTTGCGAATCAGTGATTTGTGGTTTCTTTGGCATATGGCATGTTCTGCTTTTGAAAGAAAGGAAGTGCTTAGGCTACTGTCAGCCCTTGACCCTCATCTAGTCAATCTAGGAGTGTGGAAGAAAGACAGTCCAAAAGGGATCTAATTTTAATTGCAGAAAAGGGGTTACAGAATGCATGATGGGGATACTCCTCATTGAAAGAATTATTCTTTCTTCCCTTTCCTAAATTGAAGAAGCAAAAAGCTATGAAAACATTCTGAGCACAACTTGATTCTTTTTGACAACTTTCTGTGTATTTAAAAAAGGAATTTAAGTTAAGAAAAGGAGGATGTTTTGGTATTGTAGCCCTATTGCCTAAAACATTAAGGCCATAAACCCTAAGCCAGATTCTACCTTTATTTTCACTGTTGGAAATCCAGAGAGACTACATTGGCTTATTCTGGATTTACTGTATTGCAGGAGAGAGAAGACCTTTTCTCAACAATTGTATCAAGATAAGTGAAATTTGACTGTGTACTATTTAATATCCAGTGTTCTAAAACAAAACTAAAAGAAAAATAAGGGTCACTGAGAGAGTGCTTCCTCTAGACCTGTATCACGTCTACATGTATTTGAGGAGAAAACCTATAGGTGTAGAGAACGGCAAATAGAAGTATGTACTGTATATCAAATACTATAATCCTTTTTTCTCTTGTCTTGGTATAGGGTCTGTGCTTTAATGGAAGTGCCTTTGTTTTGTACCTCATTGCTGCCGTTGTAGATGCATCTTTGGTGACCAAAGAGCTAGACAGCCACAATTACAACAGCTGGGCAGCTTCTTCAGTAAGTTTTTAATATAATCACTTTTCAACTATTCTGTGAGTGGCAAGTTGAATTAAAAAATGGAAAGCCACACTTCTTGAGACATTTTGTCTCGGGTTTCATAATTGTGTAACTTGGCTATTGGCCTAAGTTTTCAAAAGTGATTCATAATTTTTGAGTACCTAAATTTTCTAGTACCCAGGAAGAAGGGGGATCAGTGCTTTCTGAAAATCATTCCCTCTCGGTGTTTTGGGCAGGCACCCAAAATCACTGGCCTCCTCTGACAATGAGGCTATTAGCTTCCTGTTTGTTTGGAAATCCAAAACACTTGTGATCATCTAGGTCTCGATCCTAAAGCCACTGAGGTCAGTAACAAGACTCACTAGTCCAATGACACATGGATTACCCCATTAACCAGCTATGGTGCCTCCAAATTACAGACTCTACTCTTGTGGATCAACTCCTAATTGACTGCAAAGTAGTTGTAATTTGACTAGCTGCTGAAGCTACACTAACCTGCTCTGCCACATGCAATACAATTCCTGCCTTCTGCTTCAGATGTTTCATGCAGTAAGCAAAACGGAAGCCTTGACACCTCTTGTCTTGGGAACTGGCTGACCTCCTTTCTTATCACCTCCTGAGCATTCAGGTTCTCATATTCTTGACATCTCCTAAATACTGGCCGGTCACTCAATGAGTAGTGCTTTTGGCAGTAGCCTGTACAAGATGTTCAAGTTTCTGCACTGATTCAGGTTTTTATGCAAAATGCATTCATGCTTAGCAGATCTAAAAGATCATCTGAGATGTTCTGGAACCCCTTGTGATGGTTTGTGTTACTAAACACTCCAAAACACAGGATTAAATAGTGCTGCTTAAATAAACGCTATTAAACTTGCATCCCTGCTCTTCGAGAATCTGGTGAATAGGGTTACCATATGTCCAGCTTTTTTAGGGGGGGCGGTCCTCTGATCTCTATGCGGGTGTTTTTGTTTTGTTTTTTTAAGTAGGAACAAATGTCCAGGATTTCGCTGGTAGAACTGCATTTCCTGGCTTGGCCTAGTGCAGGGGTGGGCAAAATGCAGCCCGGGGGCCGGATGTGGCGCGCCAGGCCATTCTATCCAGCCTGCGGGGCCCCTAAAAAAATTAGAAAATTAATATTAATCTGCCTGTCTTGCGGCCGTTGATGGTTTGCCAAAACTCAGTAAGCGGCACTCTGCCCAAAATAATTGCCCGCCCCTGGCCTAGTGGCATGTGTGTTTACCAGGAATCGGGGTTTTCTGTTTGCTGTGGAAAAAATATGGATTTTCCTCTCTGAAGGAGGAAATGGCAGGTTTCCTCTTGCATCTGGCAGCCTTCCAGCCTGCAAGGAGCTGCTTGGGGTGATTTGTGTCTGTGCGTGCATATGCATGTGCCTAGCATCCAGCTAGGCAGTGTGGTGGGAGCAGCCCCAGCAGCTGGATGCAGGTAAATATATGGGGGTTGGAGAGCCAGGGTTTGGGGATTGTTGGGTGTGTGTGGCAGGGAGGTGAGGATGTGTGCATAGCATGGGTGTATGGAGGGGATGAGGGTGTGGGGGGGGGGGGGCACATGCCTGCCAGTGCTAGGGGATGGCGGCCAGGAACTGGGGCTGCAGCAGGGCATGGGGCCAGCAGCATCAGGGCCAGTGCCTGTGATCACAGGGGTGGGGCACTCAGGAGTTGCTGTCCAGGGTGGGGCTGTAGCCAAGCTGCCTGGAGCCCTAGCTGCATGAGTCAGAGCTGTTGCAATCGCTGCAGTGTGGCTTGGTCAGGATGGGGGCAGCTGAGACCCCCTCTGGCAGGGCTGGGGGACCAGGGGATTGTGGGTTAGGAGTAAGGGGCACTGGCAGGGCTGGGGGGCTGTGACTTGGGAGTGAGGACATTGGGGTGGGTGGGAGGGCTGTGGTTTAGAGGTGCAGGGTAGTGGCAGCACTAGGCATCTGTGGGTTGGGAGTGAGGGACACCAGCAGGGCCAGAGGTCTGTGTATCAAGACTGAAGGGCAGCAGCAGGCACTAGGGCCTGCAGGTTGGGAGTGAGGGGCACCCACCTCCCCCAGATGTCCTCCTTTTTGGAACTGGAAATATGGGTAACTCTAGCAATGAAGCCAAGCCTCACTTCTTAAAGATCTCCATTTTTGTATGTTTCGGTGATAACAGACTAATTTCTGTATAATACTCTCTCCATCATAGTTGTTGTTGTTGCATGAGAAGTGTGGGAAACTAAGTCTTCTCCTAACAAAGAAGGCAAAGGCATTGTGTATTAACCATACTCTACATCATCCTATAGCAGCATTTTTTTGGCAGGCTGCCACAAATTAGCCCTGCACCCTTCCCAAGTGCCACTCTGACCCCCTTCCCCTGCTTGATCTGCTGCTCTACTTCCTGCCCTATCTGCTGTTGTGCTGCCTGCCACACAGAGGTCACTTGTGCTTCTCGTGGCACTTGTGCTAGAGATTGGCCACCCCTGTCTTACAGTATTCTTGGTGTTCACCATTTTAAATATAAGGGTGTCAGAAACCAACAGCAATTTCAAAATAAAACCATTTCATTTGCAATGATCCTTTACTAGATCCCATTACTTCTCTACAAAGTCTTAAACAATACCACCATCAGGCTAGGTGCAGATGTTCAAAAAGCCCAAAGCTGAATTGATTAATTCTTTACAGGTTAGTCTAAGATTCACAGATCAAACTGATCAGAGTGAACAGACATTTACCTTTGATTCAGGAAATGCAGTCACATGCCTGCAGTGGCTCGGGCCAGAAGCTGCAGGGTGCTAGAGCATGGGTCTCTAGCTGTGTGTTCACGTCCTCTTCCTGCTGCCCCCGAGGTCTCTGGATTCACAGTCCAGAATCACAACAGCAGGACTCTTCAGGGTTACTCATCACTTCCTCTTCCTGCTTCCAGATGCCTCTGGGATTTGCAGTCCAGTCACACCCAGCAGTAAGTTTGAACAGGGGAAGGGGTGTTTAATCCTCATCCCTGGCTCCAGACCTCAGCCAGGGTTGCCTGGGGGGGTAGTTCTGTTCCTCTTCCCCCCCACCCCCCCATTCTCCCTCTCATTGACTGGGCTGCATCCCTAGCCAGGCTTTCCCCCCACCCCCTTGTCAGTCAGACCTCACTGCTCTGGCTAGAAACTAGAGAGGCGGGGGGAGCCCCGCTGTCTAGAGCAGACAGCCCAGCCCAGCCCAGGGTTGAAAAGCATGCTGGGATTCTGGGGAACTCTGGTTTAACTTAAACTAGGAAGGGGTCTGGGACAGAAGTTTCATAAATTGATTTGACCCAAATCAGTTAAACCTGGCTGAATGTAGTATCAGACTTATCTTAAATCAGTTTCAGCCATTTTGAAACTGGTTTATGTGCACCAAGCTTCTGTTGTGTTACAGGTTTAAACCTGTTTCTGATCACTTAAACTGGTTTATGTGTAACTTCTGTCCCTAGCCCTCACTGTTCCCCACTGCTATGTAGTCTCCCACTTTGTTGTTGACATGTAGCATGGGCAGCCATTTTGCCATTAATTTCTGAAACATCCTATATGTTGGACAAAGATTTGTCAACAGATATTTCATACATTTTACAGTCGTCTTATAGATGTCTTATACAGTGTTTGTGTTAGTCTGCCTTACGGCAGAAGGCAGAGCAGGGTGGCGCCTTCGAGACTATCTCGTTCAGAGGTGCATGAGCATTCATAGACAGCCTACTTGGCTGGTGATAAAAGCTTCTCAAAGAGTTAATCTCTTGGGCTAAAAACAAATGACCAGTTTGATTCATATTTGAGCATTTCAGCTAGAGACAGAAGTTAGGCATAAACTGGTTTAAGTGATTGGAAACTGGTTCAAATCTATAACACAACGGAAGCACAGTACACTTACTGCTTTCAAAATGTCCGAAACGTGTTTAAGGTAAACCTGGTTAGATGTAGTATCAGACTGAACTGATTGAGGTCAGACTGGTTTATGGAACTTCTGTCCCAGACCCCTTCCTGATTTCAAGTTAACTCGCAATCCCCCAGCATCCCAGGATGCTTTGCAGCCCTAGGCTGTGCTGTCTACTCCAGTCCCACCCCTCGGCTCCCTAGCCAGAGCGCTATTGCTGCTCCAGCTGACTGAGAAGGGGGTGGGGGTGGGGAAACCTGGCTTTGGACCCCAGCTGGGGTCTGCCTGGTGGGGGTGGAGCAGACCCCAAAGGGTTTTTCCCCTCTTGCTGCTGGGTGGGGATGGGCAGGGGGGTGGCCAGACACCAGCCCGGGCAGGCATGCTGAGGCAGAGGTGAGGGAGGGGTGTATAAACCCCCTTCCCTGCCTGGCTTTTCCCCTGTTCACTGCTGTTCACTTGCTTTTCAGTTCAATCTAGGCCAGGGGTGGGCAAAATATGGCCCGCAGGCCAGATCCGGCCCACGAGGCCATTCTATCTGGCCTGCAGGGCCCCTAAAAAAAAAAAAAATTAGAAAATTAATATTTTTCTGCCCTTGGTTCCTGTCAAAAATGACAGGAACCAAAGGCAGTAGGACTCTGTGGGAGTCCACCGGGCTTCCCCTACAGCAGGGCCTGCCTCCCCAGCCAGAAGCCCCAACCGGGGCACCTGGCCTGGGACCACGTGGTTGCCCCGCACCGGAACCACAGGTAAGGGGGATGGGGGGGCGGGAAGGGCAGGGAAGGACCCTGGGAAGGGAAGGAGCCCGGGGAAAAGTGGCCTGGGGAAAAGCTGAGTGGGGTGGGGAGGGAGTGGCCCCTTGCCTGCCCAGTGCCTGATGCCCCACGCTGCAGCCACTTGCAGCCCACCTGGGGCTGCCTGTGCCTGCTCCGGACAGCCCCGTGTGGGCTGTGAGCAGCTGCAGCAGTGAGCGCCGGCCACGGGAAGGGGCTGCTTTTCCCCCACCACGCCTAGCTTTCCTCCCCCCCTGCGCTCAGCTTTTCCCCGGGCTCCTTCAACGGCACGGAGGAAAGCAGCCCTTCCCCACCCGGTGGCCAATGCTCCCTGCTGCAGCTGCTCCCAGCCCACATGAGGCTGTCTGGAGCCGGCCCCGGCAGCCCCACGG